AAAAAAGATGGTATGTAACCTCCTACACTCCATTCGGAGGTTAGGGTAACTGTGCAGTACTCCCCCACATGCATGTTAATAAATCTATATGCCTTTTCTCCAATTAATCTGCCTTTCGTCAGTTGCTTTTTCATTGATCCTTCAGAGGGCAGAGGGGAAGCTTTTCCTTATGTTATGTAAAAGAAACTAGACACGAAAGACCACATATTGTATGGTTACATTATGTGAAATGTTCAGGCCAGGCAAGGTGGCCTGTAGTCCCAGCACTTTGGGAGGCCAACGTGGGCGGATTGCTTGAGTCCAGGAGTTTGAGAACAGCCTGGGCAACACGGCAAAACTCCATTTCTACAAAAAATACATAAAAATTAGCCAAACTGGGTGGCCGCATCTGTAGTCCCAGCTACTGGGCAAGGGGGTAGAGGGTACTGAGGCAGGAGGATCGCTAGAGGCCAGGAAGCAGAGGTTGCAGTGAGCCGTGATTGCACCACTGTGCTCCAGCCTGAGTGACAGAGCCAGACCCTGCCTAAAAACAAAAAACAAACCAAACAAAAAAAAATTTGGAGCAGGCACATTTGTAGAAATGTAAAGTGGATATGTACTTGTGTAACCACCCAAAGGGTTCTCCTTGCCCGATACCCAGACAGAGCAGACATATCAAGACAGAGGAATTGCAATACAGAGTTTAATTAATTTACAAAGAGCTTGCTGAAGGAGCGATGGAAGTTTCATTATTACTCAAACCAGTCTCCTGGAAAATTTGGAGACTGGCATTTTTAAGGATAATTTGGTGGGTAGAGGCCAGGAAGTGGAGAATGCTGATTGGCTGTGTCAGAGATGAAATCATCGGGGGTCAAAGTGGGATTATTCTTCCTGTCCTCTATTCCCAGGTGAGATCCCAGAACTGGTTGAGCCAGATTACCGACCTGGGTGGGGCCAGCTGGTACATCAGAATGCAGTGTGAAAAATGTCTGGAGCCTGATCTTAGGTTTTACAATAGTGATGCTAGCTTTCGGAGCAACTGGGGAGGTTCAAAATCTCGTGGCCTGTCTGCATTAATCTTTTGAGATGAAGTCTCACTCCGTCACCCAGGCTGCAGTGCAGTGGCGTGATCTCGGCTCACTGCAGCCTCCGCCTCCCGGGTTCAAGCGATTCTCCTACCTCAGCCTCCTGAGTAGCTGGGACTACAGGCGCCGCCACCACTCCCAGCTAATTTTTGTATTTTTAGTAGAGACGGGGTTTCACCATGTTGGCCAGGCTGGTCTCCAACTCCTGACCTCAGGTGATCCACCTGCCTTGGCCTCCCAAAGTGCTGTGATTACAGGCCTGAGCCACTGTGCGCCCAGACTGTCTGCATTAATCTTGAGGTTAATTTGCTAGTGCTGCACAGGCAGTCTGGTCCCCAGGCAAGAAGGGGCTGTGTTAAGGGAAAAGGCTGTTTTCATCTTTGTTTCAAAGTTAAGTTATAAGCTAAATTCCTCCCAAAGTTAGTTTGGCCTATGCCCAGGAATGAACAAGGGCAACTTGGAGATTAGAAGCAAGATGGAGTCAGTTAGGTCGGATCTCTTTCACTGTCATAATTTGCCCATTGCTGTAATTTTTGCAAAGACAGTTTCAGTTGCTTGGGAGGTTGCAGGAAAATGCAGAAGTGATTGCAAATGGGTACAGGGTTTCCTATTAGGTTGATAAAATGTTCTGAAATGGTCTGTGGTGATTGCAAAACTGTAAATATACCAAAACCCATTGAAATGTACACTTTAAATGGGCAAATCATATGACATGTGAATTATATCTCTCTTTTTTTTTTAAAGAAATATTATCATATACCGTATGTCTATGTGGGCTTCCAGCAACCCTTCTGGCGCTCCTGGAGATCAGGTAGGACTAAGAATTCATGGCACGGCCTTTTGTATTATCCGACTCCCTCCCTCCCTCCCTCCCTCCCACCCTTCCTTCCTTCCTTCCTTCCTTCCTTCCTTCCTTCCTTCCTTCCTTCTTCTCTCCTTTCCTTCCTTCCATGAACTAGATGCTATCCTAGGCACTGAGCATACAGATATTGACCGAGATCTAATCCTGTCCTCAAAGAGTTCACAACCTCATGATTGTCCTCAGCCCCCTGTAGCAAAGGAAACTTTTACTGGGACCACTTCTGTATACCCTGAGCTATGAAGAGTAAATCTAACCTTTCTAAAGTCACATACATCTGCACTTAGTGGGGGCTCAGGTGACGGAGCTCCAGTGCTCATGAGCAAGTGAAACACACAATGTAGATTTAATATCTTGTAGCTCTTCAGTCCTTCTCATCGCCAGGGTGGGTCACAGAATGCCCATAGTGAAGGAAGCCAAGTCTCCTTCCTTTTTGGGTCTCAGGGTCCAGACATTGTGTAGCTGGAAGCTCATTACTGAGACACTCAGCAGCTGCCAGGTGGGCAAACTCCCTATTTCCCACACAGCCAAGCCTGACCACCATTATTGCTGGCTCGTGTACCCTTTCCTATAAAGTTGGTGGTTGACAGGGAAGATCCTGGACATTCAGGTCATGGTGCCATCAAGAGCCTGGGGCCATCAACCTCTGCTGTGGTCCTTGATTTCACTCCCTATTCATCTCAGTGTGAAGCTGCCTTCTAACCTGGGGCTGTGTCTTATCTCTGACCCAGCTCTTGCTCATGCATGATGACTGCTCCCTGCCTCCCTGTATTATCCCCAAATGATAGCTGCTATGTCTTGTGGTTGCTTGTGAAATCGCTTTTACAAAATTATAACTGAGGAAATTATGACAGTGAAAGAAATCAGACCTAACCATTTTGCTTCTAACCTTTAAACTGTCCTTGTTCATTCCTGGGCATAGGTGGAAATAACTTTGGGAAGGAATTCAGTTCATGATTTTACTCTGAAACAAAATTAATAATAGCCCTTTCCCGAAAAGACCCTCTTCTTGCCTGGGGACCAGTCTGCCTTTGCGGGGCTAACAAATTAGTTACACGATTCGAAATGACAGTTTAGGGGTCATGCAGTCTCTGACTCCAAGAATCTGAACCTCCTTAAATTGCTCCTAGGGATAACATCACTGTTGTAAGCCTAAGATCAGTGCTTGAGATATCTTGCAGACCCTACACGCTGGGTGGATCAGCTGACACAACCCAGAACCATAATCTGGCTCAACCAGTTCTGCCCTCCCACCCAGGAACAGAAAATAGCACAAAAAACTCACTTCAACCCTCTATGATTCCATCTCCAAGCTGAGCAGTTAGGACTCCCCACTTCCCAAGCCCCTACTTGCCAAATTAAAACTCTGATCCAAAAGAAAGAGAGATCAGACTGTTACTGTGTCTATATAGAAAGAAGTAGACATAAGAGACTCCATTTTGTTCTGTATTTGAGATGCTGTTAATCTGTGACCCTACCCCCAACCCTGTCCTTGCAAGAGACACGTGCTGTGGTGACTCAAGGTTTAATGGATCTGGGGCTGTGCAGGGTGTGCTTTGTTAAACAAGTGCCTGAAGGCAGTATGCTTGTTAAAAGTCATCACCATTCTCTTAATCTCAAGTACCCGGGGACACAAACACTGGGGAAAGCTGCAGGGACCTCTGCCTAGGAAAGTTAGGTATTGTTCAAGGTTTCTCCCCGTGTGAGAGTCTGAAATATGGCCTCGTGGGAAGGGAAAGACCTGATCCCCCAGCCCGACACCCATAAAGGGTCTGTGCTGAGGAGGACTAGTAAAAGAGGAAAGAAAGCCTCTTGGCAGCTGAGATAGAGAAAGACATCTGTCTCCTACCCATCCCTGGGCAAGTCCCTGGGCAATGGAACTTCTCGGTGTAAAACCCGATTGTATGTTCTATTTACTGAGACAGGAGAAAACCGCCTTAGGGCTGGAGGTGGGATGTACTAGTGGCAAGGCTGCCCTTTATGCACTGAAAATGTTTATGGAGATGTTTGCATATGCACATCAAAGCACAGCACTTTTCCTTAAACTGATTCGTGTCACAGAGATCTTTATTCACATGTCTTTCTGCTGATCTTCTCCCTACTATGACCCTATTGTCCCGCCACTTCCCCTTTTCCAAGATGGTAAAGATAATGATCAATAAATACTGAGGGAACTCAGAGACCGGTGCCGGCGTGGGTCCTCTGTATGCTGAGCACAGGTCCCCTGGGCCCACTTACTTTGTCTTTGTGTCTCTTTATTTTCTTAAGTCTCTCGTTCCACCTGATGAGAAACCCTGATGAGAAATGCCCACAGGTGTGGAGGGGCAGGCCACCCCTTCACTTCAACCCTCTATGATTCCATCTCCAAGCTGAGCAATTAGCACTCCCCACTTCCCAAGCCCCTACTTGCCAAATTAAAACTCTGATCTCCGAATGCTCGGAGAGACTGATTTGAGTAATAATAAAACTCCGGTCTCCTGCACAGCCGGGTCTGCGTGAATTACTCTTTCTCCATTGCTATTCTCCTGTCTTGATAAATCGGCTCTGTCTAGGCAGCAGGCAAGGTGAATCCGTTGGGCAGTTACACTTGTGTGCTTATCTTATCTCTCTTGCTGCAATACAGTTTTTGTTAACTGTTGCTTTCTGGTTTGGACCCTGCCTACTACTGTTTTTGAGGTCTCAGCTTGGACATAGCCTCTGGTTATTCCTGGCCACTTGCTATAAGAACACAAAGTCAATTCTTCCCTCTCTAAGAATCAGTCTTGGTAGGCTTTCACCCATCATTGCTAGTCCACTGCCTTTGCCAGCTGTGAGCTGCCATCCATCCCAGCCTCCTGTTTCCCCCTTGGAGTCTACTTCAAAAGGCATCTCCCTCTTCCTTAGCATCTTCTCTTAGTGAAGATGGCTCAGTAAATGTTTTAATTTAATTTAATTTAATTTAACTTAATTTAGGAGAGCTAAGTAATTAAACATGATGCCAAAGTACATAAGAAAGTGGCAGTCTTTTATTGCAAATACGCACACACTCTCAGGGGAAGTTCTCTGGTCCTCAGGTGTGGGGGGCCAGGGAAGTCGCGCCGGCGCTCTCGGGTGATGTTCTCCGGTCCACAAATGCGGGGGGCCGAAGAAGTCACCCTGGCTCCGGCCGGCGGCGGACTTTTATGCCTGGGAGCTGGACGGGGAGGAGTTCCGGGCGTGTGTGTAGGAGTGGCTTCTTGAATTTCGGTGTCCTCGGCTTGACGTCATTCTGCGCATGCTCAGTTGATTTGGTTCTTTCCCCGGGCGGGGAAAATCTGTGAAGAAGAACCCGGAAACAACAGGGGCTGCTCCATCTTGTTCACCTTCCTCCATCTTGTCCCTTTTCCTTCACCCAAACAGTAAATACTTCTAAAACCTTATGTTTCCCTTAGCAATGCCAAGTCTGTAAAAACTGCTTTCTTTCCTAAAAATACATTTCCGAAGGTACCATCAATGAAGATCTCTGCCTGAAATGACCTTCCTGACAGCAAGTTGTATTTTCCTCAAATGCTTTCCATTCCACATGCTCTTCCAGAGCCTTGCCACTCACACATCAGGAAATGGCGTCTCTGTCCCCTTCTTGGAAACTGGGTGGCGCTTCGTGACTGTCTCAACTAGTGGAGCACAAGGGAGGATCTGCTACGGGCCTTTTGAGGCCAGTTTTCAAAAGGCGAGACAACTTTCTCCTGCTCTCTCTTGGGATGCTTGTCCTTGCAACCAGCCACCATGCTGTGAGAGAGTCCAGGCCCCATGGAGAGACCACATGTAGGGATTCTGGCTAACAGCCTCAGCTGAGGAGTAAGCATCAGCCTACAGCCACAGGAGTAAGGCAGACTCTGTGAAGAATCCAGCCAGCTCTCATCTGACTGTAATCACAAGAGAAATTCCAGCAAGAACAATCAGCTGAGCTTGGTAAAACCCTAGAACCATGAGAGAGAAAGACAAATGACTGCTCTGTTACACTGCCAAGTTTGGGGTGGTTTGTTGCCCAGCAACAGGTAACCAGAATGCTGTCCATCTCCATACATTATGAGCCTAACTGCCCTTTGTGGCCCAGCTCATTAGCCTGTCACCTCCCATGTAAGCCTTCGCTAATCCCCACAATGGCGTTCTCTCCCTGTCTGAACTCCCGGTGCTCTTCCTATACCGGTCTCCTCTCCCACATCTGGGTGCACACTTGATCTCTCCCCTCCTTGTAAAGTCTCCATTCATATCTCTCGGCACCTAGCCCAATGCTTGGCACATAGTGGGTGCTCAATACAGGCTTTCTCTGTCTGGATGTGTGAAGGATAGGGAAAGGGATCTTGGGGAGAGAACACCTACCAGTGGAGAAGAGAGGGTCCTGAGTTGCAAAACAGTTTCCATGGCTTTCAAAGGCCTTTTTCTCTGACTAGTGTCCTAGGACATTTTTGGCTTCTCTGCTAAGAATGTAGGATCATGAGTTAGAGTCAAAAGGATTTATTAACAAGTATCAAGTTGTCAGAGGTGCTGGAGCCAGAGCAACTCCATCTTGTGTAGGGGCTGGGTAAAATAAGGCTGAGACCTACTGGGCTGCATTCCCAGACGGTTAAGGCATTCTAAGTCACAGGATGAGATAGGAGGTTGGCACAAGATACACGTCATAAAGACCTTGTTGATAAAACAGGCTGCAGTAAAGAAGAGGGCCAAAACGCACCAAAACCAAGATGGTGACGAGAGTGACCTCTGGTCATCCTCATTGCTACACTCCTACCAGTGCCATGACAGTTTACAAATGCCATGGCAACATCAGGAAGTTACCTTATGTGGTTTAAAAGGGGAGGCATGAATAATCCACCCCTTGTTTAGCACATAATCAAGAAATAAGCATAAAAATGGGCAACCAGCAGCCTTCAGGTCTGCTCTGTCTACGGAAGTAGCCGTTCTTTCATTCCTTTACTTTCCTAATAAACTTGCTTTCACTTTACTCTATGGACTTGCCCTAAATTCCTTCTTGCGTGAGATACAAGAACGCTCTCTTGGGGTCTGGATTGGGACCCTCTTCCTGTAACAAAGTGCTTCTCGGAAAGAAAGGATTGTCCAAGCTAAGGGTTTTCTTAAGATTACAGTGTATGGCCACTTGGGGGAGCTGAGGCGCTGCGAGGTGTCTTTCACAAGTTCACCAGCAGGTGGCAAGCTTATTCGTGGTTTCATGCAAACTGGTTTTAGCCACGCACACATTCATAAAATACTGAGCACCTACTCCATGTAAGGCTCTGTGTGAGCTACAAAGGAGGGTAAGCTACAATTCCTGCCTTCCAAGACCTTCCAGTTTGGTGAACTCAATGTTTCTTTATTATTATTATTTTTTTTTTTTTTGAGACGGAGTCTCGCTCTGTCGCCCAGGCTGGAGTGCAGTGGTGCGATCTCGGCTCACTGCAAGCTCCGCCTCCCGGGTTCACGCCATTCTCCTGCCTCAGCATCCCGGGTAGCTGGGACCACAGGCGCCCGCCACCACGCCCGGCTAATTTTTCGTATTTTTAGTAGAGACAGGGTTTCACCGTGTTAGCGAGGATGGTCTCCATCTCCTGACCTCGTGATTCACCTGCCTCGGCCTCCCAAAGTGCTAGGATTACAGGCGGGAGCCACTGCGCCCGGCCAACTCAATGTTTCTTTAGCTTATCTTTGGGTTGAAATAGTTCTTCAAAAGTCATCCAATCCTTTCTTCTGTCAGTGTAATTTAATATAATCGACCCTGATGAAAGACAGGTGTCAAGAGTCTTGCCAAGGCCGGGAGCGGTGGCTCACGCTTGTAATCCCAGCACTTTGGGAGGCCGAGGTGGGCGGATCACCTGAGGCCAGGAGTTTGAGACCAGCCTGGCCAACGTGGTGAAACCCCATGTTGGGGGGTTTCTACTAAAAATACAAAAATTAACTGGGTGTGGTGGCGCATGCCTGTAGTCCCAGGCTGGGAGGCTGAGGCAGGACAATCGCTTGACCCTGGGAGGTGGAGATTGGGCACCTGGGCAACAGACCGAGACTCTGTCTCAAAAAAAAAAAAAAAAGTTTTGCTGAAAGTCTGGTTATTTTCAGTCTACTTCACTGCTTTAAGTAGATAGGCCAGGTGATCATAGATAAGATCAGAGCAGTGAAGGTGGTGTGGCTAGAGACCAGGAGAACAGGGAGAAAGAGATTTTAAAGCAGGAGGAAAGCAAACTGATTGAGAGATTAGGAGCTGGCGTGATTGGAACTGGGCCTGTCAGAAAAGCCTATCCTGAGCCTTCAGCCAGCTCCCTGTGCCTGCACTTCCCTAGAGCGTGTCAGGCTCAGAATAGTGGAGCCATGCACAGCCAGCTGCCCAGGAGCTCCCTGCTGCCTGCTCCCGCCCTGAGTCCCCAGCTCCTCCTGCTTTCCCCTCCCCACACTTTGGCTGTGAGAGTCACTCCACAGTTTTGCCTGTTTGGGACAGAGGTAGTGGCTGCAGAGGGAGGAGGAGGGAAGTGACCTTACATCAAGTTCAGGCCAAGGGGAGGGGAAGAGGAAGCGGTCATTTAAAAACCTATCTAGACTGTTTCACAGTGTCCTTAAGGACCCAACCCTGAGCCACTCCAGTGCATTTCTGAATCACCTTTCAAGCTCCCCGGGAACATTCTTTGTGCTTCACAGTGTAAATTTCAGCTTGAAAATCAGAAGAGGTTTCTGGATCAGGAACCCCCTGGAGTTTTTATTTTGTTCCTTTCTAAATGGATTTCCCCTTTTCTTGCCTCCAAGCATTTTATTTTTACAACATGTATACACTGCCTTTTCCGATTTTCATTTGCTTCTGGCTGCCAAGCTCATTTCTCCAGCACACCCTGGGAGATTCTAGGAAACCTCCTTAGAAAACATGAATACAGGGACTGAAAGCAAATGCTGGGCCTTATTCCACAAGCCCCCTTTGACTTGCCTCATCACAGCCTAGGCACAGCAGAACAGTGCCAGAGCCAGGGAGAGCCTTGCAGATCACTTACATGGGTAGGTGGGCCTAGTCATATTCCCAGGGGCCCACAGAGATACTACCACCAAGCACGACACATTTCCTAGGAACTCCATTTCTCTGAACAGTCAGTAATTTTATTTTTATTTATTCATTCATTTATTTTTTGAGACAGGGTCTCACTTTATCACCCAGGCTGGAGTACAGTGGCATGATCTCAGCTCACTGCAACCTCTGCCTCCTGGGCTCAAGCAATCCTCCCACCTCAGCCTCCCTAGTAGCTGCGACTACAGGCATGCTGCACGTCCAGCTAATTTTTGTATATTTTGTAGAGACGGGGTTTTACTGTGTTGCCAAACTTGTTCTCAAACTCCTGGACTCAAATGATCCACCTGCCTTGGCCTTCCAGAGGGTTGGGATTACAGGTGTGAGCCACTGTGCCTGGCCAGTGAGTCATTTCAAACATTATCTTTTTATGAAGACAAATACAGTTATGTGCCAAAGGAGAATGCAAAATTCAAATACATTTTTACAATAAACCCCAAGACTTCAAGGACTGGGAATGGACTGATTCTGACAACACTGTGGTTATCACATCCATTTCTTTGCTGTCAGAGGTACCTCAGTGGAAATTTTTGAGAATACTGAGTTAGTCCAACCTCCCATTTTACCCATGAGGAAAGCTGAGGTCTAGGCTTTCCTCATGGGTAAAATGGTCACACAACTACTAAGTTAGTTACTGCTGTAAGCCCTGGTCTCCTCACATGCAAAGCAAGGGGTAAAAATAGTCCTTACTTCATACAGCTACTGCAAAGATTAAAGGGGACAATTGTGTAAAGTACCTGACAGGTAGTAAATGCTTAATAATTATAATTATTCCTCATTATCAACAGTATTTGTTTTTGTTTTTTTGAGACACAGTTTCACTTTGCCCCAGGCTGGATGTAGTGGCTGGATCTCAGCCACTGCAACCTCCGCCTCCCGGTTCAAGCATTCTCCGTCTCAGCTTCCACAATAGCTGGGATTACAGGCACCATGCACCACGCCTGGCTAATTTGTATTTTTAGTAGAGATGGGTTTCACCATGTGACCAGGCTGGTCTCGAACTCCTGACCTCAAGTGATCCACTGGCCTTGGCCTCCCAAGTACTGGATTAAGGCATAGCCACTGCGCCAGGCCATCAATAGTATTTTAAACCATAGATGACTGAAGACTCTAAATCATAGAGCTGAACTCAAACTGCAAGTTTAGGGCTGGATCTTTTTTTTTTTTTTTTTTTTTTGAGACGGAGTCTTGCCTCGTTGCCCAGGCTGGAGTGCAGTGCCGCAATCCTGGCTCACT